ATCTTCAGAAAAATCAAGGGATGAAGCCAGTCAACATTCCAGCATGGAGGGCAAAGGGGCTCATGAGCCCTCTCCCCTAGCTGAGAAGCTATAGACAGTTAATGGCTTTTTGGGAGGGAGTCAATTTTCTTTAAGGGTGTGGCTGCTGGTAGACTGACCATTCTCCAGGGGATGGCCTCACACCCCTAGTATATGGGCAACCCAAATTGGAATGAGTGGACTATTAATAAAAGCAGAGAGGGCTGGAGAGATGGCTTGGCTGTTAAGAGCACTGGCTATTCTTACAGAGGACCTAGGTTAGAATCTCAGCACCCACATGGCAGCTAACAACCATCTGTTAACTCTAGTTCCAAGCAAGGGATCTGACACCCTCTTCTGACCTCCACGAGCACTGCACAACATGGGCTCACTTACATACATGCAGGCAATACACTCATACACATTAAATAAAAATAGTAGGTAATTAAAAAAGCAAAGGCTGGGGATGGATATAGTTCAGTTGTAGAGCATTTGCCTAGCATATGCAAGGTCGTAGGTTCAATCCCAAGGACCGCAAAAAAAAAAACAAACCACTCTACCAAAAAAAGGAGATAGGAGGCATGAGGGTAAATATGATCAAAATACACAGCATCAAGTATGAAGTTCTCAACAAATAATTAAAAAAAAAATCAAAGGATGGCTGTATGAAGTCAAACATTAATGTTGGGCATGGTAATAAGACACCTGTAATCCTAGCATTCAGGAAGCAGAGATGGGAGGATCACTGTAAGGTCTAGGCCAGCCTGGTCAACATAATGAAAACAAAACATTAGGTAATACTATATATGTTCCCCTGGCCATGTATTTCCCTAACAATGGATAAAAAATATTCTCAAGTGTGGGAAAAAGTTGGCTATAATTAATAAAGTACTTGTACTGACGTACTTTAAGTACACTTGAATATGTGGGTTTTAGTCAATGTGAGGCAGGCTCTCACTCTGTAGCCCAGGATGGCTTAGTGCTATGGAATCCAAGCTAGCCTCAAACCCAGGACAACCTTACCTCAGCCTCCTGAGTGCTGGGATTATAGGCATGAGTCAGCATACTTGACTCTGGTTGTTTTCTTGAGGGAAGTAACTTCACATTTATATAGATTGGAATAAAAATTCCACTTTACTTTTTCATACAAAGTGTAAATGGCTGATGTATTAGAATATTTTTTAAAATTTATATTTTATAAAGATTTTTAATTTTATGCATTTTTGTTTTATATCATATATATATATGCATGTATAGTTTGTCTTTTTGAAGCAGGATCTCCCTGTAGCCCCAGCTGTCCTGGAACTATGTAGACCAGACCAGGCTGGCCTTGAACTCACAGAGATCCACCTGCCTCTGCCTCCCAAGTGCTGGGATTACAGGTATGTGCCAACATGCCTGGCTAACATGCATATATATATAAAAAAAATTTTTTTTGGTATTTTTTTGAGACAGGGTCTCCCTGTAGCACCAGCTGACCTGGAACTATGTAGACCAGGTAGGCCTTGAACTCACAAAGATC